GTGCGTGGTGGTGGTTGTGTCCACAGGATGAACATTCGCTGCTAGGCCTGTGCAACGGACGGGTTCGGACGGTTCGGTTTCATGGAAGGCCTATCAGATCGAATTTCGGATACAATATTCAAGCACCTATCCGATTATTTTATAACCTAAATTCGTCAGATATTCTTTCGAATTATCCATCGGATATCCGACTAAACCGTTGGATAGGTCGGTTATTTATGATAAAAGTGTAAGTCCAAAAATAATAAAAGAATCATTAACAGAATCACAGTTACAAATTAAAATTCATTCCTAACTTCAAAACATAAAATGATAATTGATTAATTGTCACAGAATTACAGATTACAGACTAAGCAGTAAGCATTAAGCAATAAGCATACAAAAATACAAAAGCGTGAAAGACTGAATTTCAGACATTAAGGCATTAAGCTCCAAGCCTCCAAAGTCCAAGCCACCAAGCCTCAGCAGTCAGCAGTCAGCAACTCAGCATTTAGCAATCAGCTAAGTAGATGTATGCAACTTTATAATGCTCATCATCTATATGGATTTCGCACACAGGGGCTAGGGCTTCCACCATATTAGGGACAATTAATTAACCCTTTAAGCCTTTAACTCCTTTAAGGGACACATGGGCTAGAGCTTCCACCAACAGATCACAAATTAGAGACAAGTGACATGCAATTGATGCAAATATGCAATCTGGAACTTCTCAAGTCTCAACAGATCACATTATCACAGTCCACACAAATCAGTGAATCACAATCACAGAAACCCTAATCAAACTATCAAAGTATCACAAATTAGAGACAAGTGACATGCAATCTGGAACTTCTCAACAGATCACATTATCACAATCCACACAAATTAGTGAATCACAATCACAGAAACCTTAATCAAACTATCAAAGTATCACAAATTAGAGGCAAGTGACATGCAATCTGAAACTTCTCAACAGATCACATTATCACAGTCCACACAAATTAGTGAATCACAATCACAGAAACCCTAATCAAACTATCAAAGTATCACAAATTAGAGACAAGTGACATGCAATCTGGAACTTCTCAATAGATCATATTATCACAGTCCACACAAATCACAATCTATAAGAGTATAAGACTATAATCTAAGAATCTAACAATCTATAAGATTAGGGTTTAAAGAGTAGAGATTACTTCGTTTCTCTAAATTAAACCCCCGAGAACAAAGGGTTTTGATTCCTAGCCAGCGAACTGCAATCCACCGGAGTATCACACGTCCGCGCCGAACAAAGACTCAGACTCTCAGAGGTCAGGGGCTACCGGAAAGGAATGGGGCTTGAGGGCTTCCACGGTTCCACCGAAGAATAATAGCTTCCATCGGAGACAAAGAAGTCTAACTCACACAGTCACACTCTCAGAGTCTTAGAGATTGAGAGAAGCTGAGAAGGGCTGAGAGAGAACAAGAAACTTTGAGAGAACTAGGGTAGAGAGAAGAGAAAAGTCAGAGAGTTCTCTGGAATAAGGGAAGAGCTGCGCAAATGAGACTAGGGTTTCCGATTTCAGCCTTCATCTTCTATATATACTAGGCTTGCACGACGTCGTATTACTTAGGGTATACAAACCCTTACCCTAAATCGGGTATTCGGACGGGTTCGGGTGGAAATTATACCCCCCTACCCGAACTCATTAAACCGGCGTCGTTCTTGGCTACGGTTCGGATTAGGCTAGTCGGGTTCGGTTTTCGCACCACTCTCTTGTGTCTGTTCGGGTCGGGCGGGTTCTGCACAAGCCTATTCGCCGCCCTCCAGCTATCCAAGAACCCCAGCGATCAACGTAACAATGCATTTAAATCAAACGCAATCCCATTCCACACCCACTCATTTCTACTAGCCCAGATACCCCAACAAACTACCATGAATTTAGCCAGTAGTTTTAGATCAACAGCCTTGACAAAATAAAAAAACCACACACTTGCGTCATCCACCGCTGAAGGCATTAGAACTCCTAACCGATTCCAAGCTGACAACGCAAACGGACACCGGGCGAACATGTGAACCGCTGTTTCGTCCACTCTCCCGCACATATGGCACACCAACGTGCACCCTATACGTTTTGCATTGAGGGCATCCCTGGTAGGCAGGTAGCGTGACGCCAATTGCCAGCAAAAGGCTTTCACCTTTAGCGGTGCATGCATGTTCCAAAATCGGAGCCATGGTCGTGAATCATTCTCCACCATGGTAAGCAGCCTGTATCCCGACTTCACCGTGTAGATCCCTTTCGAATCCCAAAACCAATGCCAGCTGTCTGGGGCTTTCCGCAAGCTGATTGGGATGTTCAAGATCAGGGATGCATCTCTCGCATCAAATATATCACGCACACAATCCTCATCCCACGCCGTGCCCTGTACGTTGAGTAGGGAAGACACAGGCGCTTCAGCTAGTGACACATGCAAAGCGGTTTACACGTAGAGGTGATCACAATCTGGCAGCCACGGCTCATCTCCTATAGCCTGCCTACACCACTGCATAACGAACTCCTTCACCGCCATTATCCCTCTCCAGATAAAGGAGGGATTGCTACCCTCGCGTGCGTCAAAGAAGGTGGTGTTAGGGTAATACCTGTCTTTGAGTACACGAGTTACAAGTTATGAGGGCCTTGTTATGAGCCGCCATGCCTGTTTACCAAGCAACACTTTGTTCATTTCGTGCAACCTCCGCAAGCCCATCCCGCCGCCTAGAGTCTAGAGATAGGATATGATAACATCAATTCTCTAGTCTTAGGTATATATACAATTGTCATGGGTTAATTTTCTTACTTTTATTTTTTATTTTCCTTGCTTGTATGGATGTCGATTAATCATTTATTTTATTTAATTAATTGATTCCCCATCACATATTTGCAACTAAATAACAGTAATCGTAGTCTATGAGATGACACTTGTTACTCACTTTACCTAGATGATTTTGTATAGTTGCTAAATCTAGTACTCCTTCAGTCCCATTTGATTTGTCATACTCATTATTCATTGATCAAACCAACTCTTTCTTCTTTATTAATTTTATTTAGTATTTTTACTTAATTTTAAATTTGATTTTTTTGGGTGTTTAATAGTACTTTAATATAGTTTCTAAATATATAAATTTTGTATACTAATACTAAACTTAATATTATAAAAAATTAAATTAAAAATAACTTCAGTCAAGCCTCGTTAACCGAGGAGCGTTATGTTGTGCAACCGTGTGCACCATGCAAGGTACACACGAAATTGGATTCATAGTTTCTATACTATAGATTCATAATTTCTATACTGTTTAGTTATCAAATTATGAACATATAGTTTAGTGATTTGTGAATACTGAGTTCAACAATTGGAAATATGAACATTGAAAATTATGAACATAGAGTTTTGTAATTGTGAATATAGAGTTCAATAATTATGAATCCAATTCCGTGTGCACCATGCATGGTGCACACGGTTGCACAACATAATTTGTCGTTAACCGAACCAGATACATAAAATGGGACGAAGAGAGTATTAGAGTTATACAGTGGACTATGGCCCACACATCGTTGTGGGACCATGATCGTCAAATGAAACTATAGTAGAGTTAAAATGTTACTTTAGTGTTACTATAATGAAACTACTGTATGAAAAATGAAACTAAAAAACATAGTACATTATTGTCAAATGAAATTGTAATATAATTAAAATGATACTTTAGTATTGCTATAATAAAACTAGTGTACTTGAAAAATGAAACTAGAATCCAGAGCTATACAATAACATATATTGTCAAATGACCTGGAGTGCAATTAAAATAATACTTCAACATTACTATAATTAAACTAGTGTGTGTGTAAAATGAAACAAAAAAAAAAAAAAGAGCTCAAGCAATAATGTATATTATCAAATGAAACTATAGTAAAATTAAAATGATATTTTAGTATTGCTATAATGAAATTAATATGGAGGGAAAATGAAACTAAAAAACATAATAATATTGTCAAATAAAACTGAAATGTAATTAAAATGAATACATACTTAATAGTCCACGTTGCTACATTAACCATAGTCCACAATAAAATTTGTCTAGAAATACATTAGGGATCCATTTCGAAACTTGAAAACTAACTTAGGAGTCATTTTTTTGTATTTTTAATATTTAGCTATCCATGAAAAATGAAATCAATAAGTAATAGAGAATAAACAAAAAAGAAGCATTGAATATTGATTGAGGAAAAAAAAAAAAAGATAACTAAAAAAAGAATCCTCTTAGAAAGCAAGCTAGAAAATGTCCATTAGAAGCTGCTAGATATGGAAACAAGCCAAAATAACAAAGATTATTGTTCTGTAAAAACTTCGAAGTCGCGTTTTCAAGTCACATGAAGACCATGCCTGATAAAAATGTGTTCAGAGTTCTGCATAGTTGAATTAAGTTAAAATTCTGACCCATATTTTAACTGGACTAGACTAGAAATCACACACACAATTACAGTGTAAATATGGGATATTCAATGGGAACTATGCCCACCATTGTATCAACATTGAAGATAAATGGTAAGATTTAAAATACTTTGACATCAAATCAGAAGGGAAGGAAACAACTTGGTTGGCATAAGTAACCGCGTACTTTTATCCCTTAAAGAACATCTCCAATAGGGGTTTTAGCTCAGTTTTTTATGAAGAAAAAAACCAAATGGAGAACTTGTTTTTTTTTTTTTTTTTTTTTTTTTTAGATTCTTTCTCCTGCAAGACCCAAATTTTTTTACTGCATACACGCACATTCAATGCCCTGTCAGGCATGTGCAAAGCATTTATCTGCATTTTAAAAAAAAAAAAAAAAAAAATTGCTTTTCAGATTTTGCTTTTGTTTTTTGTTTTGTGTTTTTTACCTCCCTCCCATCTTCTTTCTCCTAGTTGACACCTCAAAAACCTCAAAAAATCTATTACTATTGAGGTTGCTCTAAGAGAGGTAGAGTTCAAAACTCCCTCTCATATGAAAAAACTAATATGACCAGCACTTTGTCCATTCTGATACATGCTTAAAGATGTCTCCTGTAGTTAAGGTCTACTTAGGACATCTCATGGTCTAACAAAAAAATAAAAGAAAAATTAAAAAAACATAAGTGAAGGCATGTGGTATCACCTCAATACAAAAGTGTTAGAGCATCCACGGGGAGGTTTTTGTAGAGTAAAAACTTGAGTGTAGGTTTTTAGACTAATGAAAGGTTGGGTTTTTCTCCTGTAAGGGTAGCATTTTTGTGAGACCCACTGTGTAAAAGAAAAAGGAATCAGTGCAGAGCAAAGCTGTGTGTGAGGCGCACTATCGCGCCCAGTTGGCGCATGCATTGCACGCTCCAGCTAGGCGTGTAAACTTTTTTTTTTTTTTTTTTTTTGGCGCCATAATTTTTTTTTTTCCTTTTTTTTTTCTTCTTCTCTTTCCATTCTCTTTCCTACATGACTCTGCAAAAACCAATGTAAAAACCCAACAAATGAGGTTGCTCTTATCATAAAGTATGGGGATAGAGCCCAAGGGGCACCATGGGAAACATCCCTATAAATAGGTTAGGTAAAATATTCCTAATACCTCTTATGACACCAAGAGCTCATAGAAACCCAAAGGCCAAAGCCACAATCTCCCATTTTCTTCCATATATTATCAACTATTCTAAATTTCTAATCAATTAATCATATTATCTGGACTTAGAAAGTAGTAAAAAATCTCTTCCCCAAGCCAGTCTAGGTTACTGTAGTTCCATGAAAAATACATATACCTGCTTATGTGGCAGAAATTTCTTTGTGGGATTTATATGAGAGGATCACATTCCATATTAAAGCAATAAAGTTGGCTACAAGCACCTGCAGAAGATGGCAATTACAATTATGAAAGGAGATGGATATTATCACTAAAGCAAAAAGGCTGAAACCAAATAAAATACTGAAAGTTCAAGGCAACAATAAAATCAAATAAATTTAAACTTAAAATGGTTAGACCTGAAAGTTCTGTGGAACAAATCGGAAATTGAGAAATTGGAAGGGTATCCATAGTTGCCAATTTGCAAGAACAGAAGAGAACCATTCCTACAAAGTCGAAATTGTAATAAGAGCATCAGATGATGATGCACCTGAGCAAAGATAGACTTCAAGGCATGCATTCAACATTATATAATGACCAAAAGCCACTCCGTAATAAATAGTTTTTGTTTTTTTAAAACAGAATAGAGAAGTAATCTGAAACTGTAATTTAGCACCTGTTGAAGCTTCGGAATCACTTGTGATGGCCGCCCTTCGAGTGTCACCAATGTAGATATGAAAACCCCAATAAAAATTGGAGTGAAAATGAACTGCATTGAACCAACTCAAACTCATAATATCAAATAAACCGATATCAAGTATCTAATTAATAATTAGTTAATTACAACAGCAACCAGATATTCTGAGAAACCTGATCAGGTATAAGGCGCACAAAAGCACCAGTTGCCCCAGGAATTGCAACCAATCTGCTCAAGTATAGGTACCTATTTAAGAAGTCAAGATCAATACACCGAAGATAAACAACTAAATTTCACTTAAGCAATCCCACAAACAGACAACCCTAAAGCTTGACAAGAGGTGCTAGGAATTTGGCAGCATGTTAAAACATGGTAGGTGGAAGGCCAGTTTAGATACACTAGAACACAAGAATATTCATGCATTTTGAAATCCTGCAGGACAAGAGTGTATAGGAATTGTTTTTTTTTTTTTTTGGTCAGGCCATGAGGTGTCCTGAGCAGGCCCTAACTGTAGGAGACACCTTTAAGCCCGTACCATACTCAGACTAATCCCTATTCGCACCGGGCCAGTCCAATTAAAGGGCAAAGTGCTGATCAGATTAGTTTTTCCATACGAGAGGGTGTTCGAACTCCCGACCTCTCTTAACGAATGAGAGTGCACGGCCACTCATGCCAACTAAGCTGGTTAGTGTATAGGAATTGTTGAGTAAGAGGAAAGAAGCCATTTTTTTTAAATTTCATTCTCAATATCCTATTATGTACATATATAAATGAAACTGTCCCTTAATCTACCCTATCTGGTTAGATGTGAATACTCTAAAGGGAGTTAAAGAATGTTTAATTATAATTAGGTCCAGATTTAGGGCATATTCAGGTATATTAAATGCAGGTCATGTTTAGATTATTTGATTAAGTAATTTAAGCCAATAGTATCTTGGTGATTTGTTATTCTTACCTTAGCCGAATATTCAACAGCTTCCTAATAGATCTAGCACCAAGTAATTTAGTATCTTTCCCAATTTGATTTAATCCTTTATTGTTGAACTGAACTGTCATTACTAGTATCTTATGGTGAAAGCATTTCGTATACATCATATGATTAGCGTTGAGTACGCATTGAATCAATAAATACTTCTCTAGTCTTAAACAGTTACCCCACCCCAAGTGTAGTATGTTTGAGTTAGAGTTTCTCAAACATGAAAAAAGCTACAAATTATGAAACAATTACCAAAAGTGCAATGCCGGGCCGACCAAGACCAGACCCAGAAATGTGAAGAGAAGCGTCCTCTTTACATCGAAAGATGGGGCATGGTCGATCCATAGCTGCAAAAGAATGTGCAATGTAGAAGTTATTTTCCATGCCTTAATGACTTGGCCCAACAACATTAGCGATTACATTATCAGAAATTGTCATGAAAGTAGATATTGCACATTATAATTGAACAAGGAAACAAAATTTGCATAATAGACCGTGGTTGCACTCAACATTACAATAGAGAAATACCAAAAGATAAACCTACTAACCCTCGAAAGAAAAAGAAATTGCAAATAAGTAAATTGTTAGAAATCATTATGAATGCTGACCAGTACATTACACAATAACAGAGAAGCAAGACTTTCATAATACTGGGTGATTACACTCACTTGAAAAACGAAAAAAGACGAAAGAACTTAGCACCCCCCCCCCCCCCCCCACCAATAAGTAAATTTTGTCATGAAAACAATACAAAAGCTATCTCAAGAAATCCAATTCTTAAGACTAAACATGCAAAGAGGGGAAAAATGATCCCTAAAAAATAATGTGAATTATTTCTTTGTATGAGTACTTAGTTTTACCAAAATTCACCTGACAGATCAAATCTCCAACACAATTCAAAAAAGCCGACGTGACAGCTTTTGTCCACACAGGGTACTTCTCAAGAAGAGATAAATACCTGCAAAAGAGATGAAATCGATTTTTCATAAGTACAAATCTGAGAATAACATTATTACAATGTGACAATGATTTAATAAATCACTTCTAGCTGTTGCACTTGCACATGTTTCATAATTCATACAATCACTAAAAACTAAGAAAGCAATAGAATAGCATTACTTCAACCACAAAATATCATACCAATTCTAGCAAAAAGAAAATGAGTAACAGCTTAGTTCATTTACAAAGTACCCTATCATATGCAGATTAAGGGAAGGGATCAGATAGAACTGTTTTGTTCTAGAAGTTAAAAAAAAAATTCAATTAATAGGATAAAACATTTCTTTACAGATATAAACGTCTAACACATATAAGCATTGCTACAAAAAAAAAAAAAAAAAAAAAAAAAAAAAAAAAATCAAGCTACAAATAAGCATTGCTACAAATAAACTTTGTACCAGTATAAAAAATCGAGCTAATATTCAATTTAGTCCTCCACTATAGTGGTTTTTCTCGATTTAATCATAAACGTCTTTTTGTGCTTAATTAGGTTCTCACTTTGATGGTTTTACCAATTGAGTCTTATGTTTAGATAGCTTTGTAATTTCACCTCTATTAATACTCAATATAGTCCTTGATTTTAGTAGTTTTACCCAAGTTAGTCACAGACTATAGTAGTTTTTCTCCATTTTAGTCCTTGATTCTAACCGTTAAGGACCGAATTGGGTAAAACTATCAAAGTCAAGACCTAATTAAGCAAAAAGATGTTTAGGCCTAAATCGAGAAAAACGCAAAGACTAAATTGGGTATTACCTCATGAAAAATCATATCGCCAACTTTCAAAATTAGATACCAAATAACAGTACAATTTCACAACTCCGAATTAAAATGATCAAATTTCAACAATTGTAAAACAAAAATGAAAAGGAAACAGGAAAACGTGAATGCACATAATTTTAAAAGCTATTCCATATATCCTAATAGTAACTATAACGGTTACCATGTAAGCAATGACCAATTACTCTCGCCCTCACCATCACTACCGCCTCCGCCGCCGGAATTACCATCACCAAAGCCACCATCCCCGCCGTCGCCGCCTGAACTGCCGTCAGAAACCGCTGAAAGCGGGGTAAGAGTCGACTCGGGTTCAAAAGGATTCGATGTTTTCATCCCTTGAGCTGAAGAAAAAGAATTAGGAGGGGAAGGGTGGGTCGACAAGCATTGTGCTTGCAGAGGGTTGTGTTGAATTCGAGTGAGCTGAGTGGTGAAATGCAGAGAGGGTATACGTGGAAAACCATCCAAGCGTAACGTCAGCAGAGATTTATGGGTTAGAATGACGGCGTTCGACGCCATGGTTTCTTTGTATGATGTTCAGCACCTTCCGAGGCTTCCCTATCCGTTTCAATAATTCAAATTCATTAGTCTATTTCAGTTTGGAGTTTGGAGAGCAAATTTGTACGTGTAACATAATAAAAAAAAATTTACATAAGTAAATTATTTGTGTATCGAATATTCATTATACAAAAATGATGTATTTTCAGTATTTAAATAATAATTTTTCTGAATGCAAGGTATATTTTTAATATATTAAAAGTACATTATTTGTGTACAGAATGTATATTATTTGGTAATATACAAAATAATGTACTTTTAGTGCTCAAATAATTTACTTTCAAATGATATACTTTATGTATATAAATAATGTACATGCAAATTCATGTTAAAATACACGGGAAAATGCATGGTTGTGTCTTAAGCCGTGCCAAATAAGGCAGTGAGCATCATTTTCTAGACTGATTTTGGCACGGGCAGTGGCACGACCATGTCTATGCACATGTCACCCTACTCTGTTTGTATTTAAGTGCGATTTTACTCATTTATTCTTGGTTCCGACCCATAATCGAACCCTACGTATTTTTTTTTACCTTTATTTTTATATTTTTAAGTTAGATTAGACATAGATTTAGGTTCTTTAATATTTTGGAGGCTTGTAAATTGTAATCAAGGATTTGAAGATTGGATTTCATCATTTCACTTTCATTTCAATAGGTAAGTTTCATTTCCCTTTTATCTCTTCATCGCAATGTTTATGCTTTATACATAAGGCAAAAAGTGAGATTTTCTTGTGTGAGCATGTGTGATTCCCTACTCCCTATGAAAAAAGCAAGAGGGGTTGAAAAGAAAACGTCAATAAAAAAAAAGCTAAAAACATGATCGAAGCTATCCTTGCTTGAGAGAGTGAAAACAAGAGGTGTGCCATCTCGTAGGACTCGGGCAACCATTGTACGAACTACAAAAAAGCGTAAGGCACTACGTGAAGGCAGTTAACTTGACGGTGTCTCCTAGAGGTGATAAGAAGAAAGAGGGAAATTCACGTTAAGCCAAAACACATGGAGTGGTCCATGTCATACCCTCACTTACTTTATTATTGGGTCTTTAGTGCCAGTTGTGGTTGTTTGGAGAACTTGTGCACATCGTTCCAACTAGTTGGCTTAGCTTGGTAGGCCTGGGAGAAATAAGAGGTGAATCACCCCATTTGCTTGCTTGGTTGGTGTGGGGGAGGAGTGTCTCCTTTTGTGACTTGTTCTTGACTATGAGTTTATTACCGAAATGGTCCCTCGACTATTGCAAAATTACCAATTTGGTCATCGATAATTTTTCTTACCCAATTAAGTTCTCGACTTTGAAAATGTTAACCATTTTGGTCCTCCGTTAGATCAGGGGTTAGAAGCTTGTTAAATGGGAGGGTATTAATGAAACTAGTAATTGTCCCGTGCGATGCACAGATGAAACTTATACCGGTTAAGTAAATATGTTTGAATATAAACATAGCTAATAATTTTTAAAGTTAGCCAAGCACTTTATGCACAGATGGCACTCAGATTGGATTCCAATATGAGAGATTATGAGTTCGAGCTTCGGTGGAGGCGATATTACAAATTACAGATTATTAAATACTCCCATCTGTACACGACAATCAAAACATGCATTTCTCTATTAATAAGACCATCACAATTTATTTTGAATTACAAAAACTATTCCAACATACAGATAGCATGTTTATTATTTTTAATTAGCAGTCAAATAGCGTTAAAAAAAACAATATAATACCACAATTAGTTCAATTCATTGTAATTATTTCACTACATTTTTTAGTTTTTATTTTTCCATTGCAAATAGTTTCACAGCTCAAGAACTCTCATTTCTCTCTTTCTGGTTCTAGAATTTTCAGTTGCACGTACACCCAACAGTAAATTGAACAAATTCAGATATCCCAGACTACAAATCTCGTTTTCTTCCTTTCCTTTCTGTTCAAGCAACTGCCAATCGATTCACATTCACTGTCTTCATTCCTATTAAGTTATATACGGCAGCGATTCGCAAATGGCATTCCTAGACGTAGTTGCACATTCTGTTCGCACAGTGTAAAAAAAGGTAAGATTGTGTTTATATGAACAAAAATAGGCCGAAGTAAGTAAGAAAGCTGATAAAAAACTTTTAATACAAAAATCAATACCTTGTTTTGATCTTATTATTTCATATCCCTTAAGTAGAAAACAGTGGTAGAATTTCTGGAATTTCTCAACTTGTTCCCTGGGTATTAAAGCATGAACAATGTACCCATAAAAAATAAAAAAAGTAGAAGAAATATAAAGCAAATTACAAATATTACCGGTAGTTATAAATTTTACATCTTCATCATGAAGACACTCTTTTGCTTTTAACGAATTTACCGCTATGGTGATCTTTTGCTTCATACATTCTCACAATACTGAGTTTGATATCTTTTTTTATAAACTCATGGAGCTTATTTTTCTTGTTAAAATGAACATTCCAACCCTATAGGGAGTACTGTTTCTATTGCAGTTGAATATAATGGATTTCAAGCACAAAACAACCACTATTTATAGCAATCTCATTACCATTGAATTGTATCTGATCTGATTTTTCAAAAAAAAAAAAAATTAGATTCATTACCTTGTAAAACGAAACGTCACAGTGGACAATGCTAAGTCATTATTACCTCGGTAAATCTTCTCCACAATAAATTTGTTCAGATGCCTTTTGTATCTTCTCCTAAGATGCCTTTTATATCTTGTTTACGTATTGTATTGTATTGTTTATAATGTTTCAGGAGATTAAATGTTTCGGGAACCAATAATGATTGAAGGAATTTCAAAAGTCTGCTGACTTTTTGTGGCCAAAACATCTTAGTTTATTGGAGCTAATTTTTGTGGCCAAAATATCTTACGTGGGAGCAACGTGGAAAGAGTCTAGAAAGTTGCACGCTCGTGGTGTCAGCAGTGGCAAAGTTTCAGCAAGTTGCAACGATCTTGGTGGTGTTGTCGCGGTACCAGTTACGAAAGAGCTACGATCGTGGAGCGCGCCGTGTAGGGGCGGCGCGTAGTATTTAAGGGCTTTTCAAGTTGACTTTGTATCACTTAGAGCATCTACATTAGTGGATATTATAGAGATAATGTCAGATGAATTATCTCGGATGGGGATAATAACAAGTGTGGGGTGGGGTTATTGGTGGAGATATTCCTCCTGCAAATTAAGGAGAATGCAGAAAAAGAAGAAAAAGAAAGAGAAGAAAAAGGAAGCTGCTTGCACGCGCCCGTGGGCCCGGCGCGCCTGACTCTTTTTTTTTTTTAATTTTTTTTTTGTTTTTTAATTTTTGATTTTGACTTTTTTGTTTTTTTTTCCTCCCCTTTCCACATTCTCTCTCCTAATCACTCTTACATTATCTCACAATTCTCCCCAACCATTGTGGATGCTCTTAGTTTTTAGTTTTAGTTTGCTACTTCTAGACACACCTCTACACTCTCTCCAATTCTAGAGAGAGAAAGTAATTCTATGGTTCAAAGAGAAAGTAATTCTATGGTTCAAAGTAACTTGACAACTTGCTTGGATCATGGAATCCTTCTTAATTTGATTGGAGACCTTGATTGCGATTTCCATTGAAGCTAAGTAATCTCTTGAATTTCATTTTCTTTGCTTCATTTTCCCTCTTCATTATGTGATTGCATTTAATAAAGAACATGTGTGACTAGAACTTGCTAGGAATTGGCCTAGATTCTTCTTGTGATTATGCATTCTTGAACTTCATTGATTAATTGAGTAGAGTTTATGCATTGATGACCTAATGCCTTGTTGGGAGTGAACCTTGTATTGATCCTTGCATATTGGTAGTCACTTTATGTTAGGTGTTTGAGAGAATGTGTGCTTACAAGAGATTGAGGCTTCACAATAGTCTTGTTCACTTGCATTTCCCACCTCTCATAAAGATATCGAGCTCGGAAGGAGACACGCATGTAGAATAAGTGTTCGATAAAATGCCTTAGACAATTAAAGTTACTACAAAAGTATAACTCAAATTGCCTAAGATGTTATGACCTTAGCTGGCTTAGTACTAGTAGAAATGTCTCCCAAAGATCGTCAATAGATGCACCACCTCAACTCTACACTAGACTCCCCGAATGCATAAGAGCAAGGAGGTCTAAGTCTAGTTCCCCATCTTTTACTTGATTACTTCATCTATCACTAGTAAAGAACAGCTAATCCGCAACCCTTGTAAAGAGCATTTCGCGATTGTTATACAAAGGTCACAGAAAGTCTTAGACATTCCGCGACCGTTGTGAAACAGTCGCAGAATGTTGAGCATCCACGACCGTTATTAGTAAACAACCGTCACGGATTATAATTTTGTTTTAATCTTCACTTTCCGCGACCATTCTTAGTGAACAATAGTCGCGAATTCTGTTTTTTTTTTTTTTCTTTTTTTTGTTAACATTTTTATGTTATTTCTCGAGATCTATGTTGCATTAAATTTTCCATCCCAATTAAATGTCAAAACCAACAAATAATACTGCATTTCAAAAGCATTTACTGCATTATAAATTAAATACATTGATAAATAACACTAAAAATCCATAGATCAAGCTCATCAGAACAATTTTTCAAGAAAGAAATCTTAAAAAAAAAAAACAAAGACCCAAAATCTTGTTCACAATGTACTGTATCATACTTGTGTTGGAAAAATTAGCTTAAAATGGCATAAAATGACATATTAAGTGGCTATTTTGTGGTACAATTATCAGTGGGGTCCACTTCCGATTTGGATCGGACCAAAGTGAATTCGGACTCTTCGTAGTAAGACGAAGAGATTGATATATTGTACGCTCAAAACGGATAATGGGTGAATGAGATATTGATTCTCAAAGTAGACCCATTTGAGTTGGGAAATGAAGGGAAAATAGTGGACTTTGTCCCACATTGGTTTGGAAACAAGATTTGCCCCCCTTATATACATGAGCTCTTTTGAAGCTTGTAGAATTGTATAGCATAGAGACTCTCTCGCGCGGCGGAGGGGGGGGGGGTGCGCAAATCAAAATCCAACTAGAGGAGATAA